CCTTCCTCATTCCTCTCTTTCTTTATCCTGCCTTTTTCTTTCATATGTTCACTGTTATGTAACCTTTGCTCTAGCATGGAGAAACATTTCCCCTTTTACTCGCCTGGCCACAGCTGCTGTGTTTCACTTTCTGTCATTATCAGAGTGCCTCAGATTAAACCTCTTGTGGTGTGTTCAGACCAAAAACGAAATGGCCTAAAATGGCAACTTACTATTTATCAACCCCTGATGTAACCGCTGGCTTTTAAAGAGGTGATAAATGAGTCCTTGCTTTGGTGCTTTGGCGCAAGAGAATTGAGGACGGTTTTAAAATAAACCATGTTTTGTTGCTATAAAAGCACATTTGAGCCTCAATCCATATTTTCTGCACATTTGGTCAAACTTTTTACCACTTTTTCTTTCAAGGCAAATCAATTTGAATAAATCTTATTTCAAGTGAATTTCAAAATAAAAGCAGCAAATTGTTCTTTTTTAGTAATTTGCACCATTTCAGCCCTAAAAGTAAATGTTTGACTTGAAGTAAGCCTCGATGCTAGACACTCTTCCTGTTAGTGATACTTCCTCTAAGCTGTGAACAAGCACATTGTGTTTTTCACTTTAAAGTTCCCCTTTTGGTGTGAGCGCAGCAGCTCAAAGGGCGGAAGTGAGACGCAGCGATGTGGTTTACCTCACATCAACCCAGAAACAAAGGCCTGCACTTCAAAGCCAAGGCTAATGGAAAGAGCCTGACCTGTCTTCAGATGTCCCCTCTTAAAGAGAATGTGTGTACATGTGTGTACCATCACCCCGATATCTGTGTGACAGCTGCTTTCATCCCGTCGATAGAGATTTAAGTGACCTCCACCTCCGTCTGTCGCAGACTCCTCATGTTCAGCAGTTCAGAGGTGAACTATTTGCAGACCTGGAGGAGAAACATCAAACCTGTGTGATGTGAGGGTGTGTGTTCATGCCGAGCGTGTTTGGAAAGGTTTGCTTGACCTCTGCACTGCAGCCTTAACTCCTTTAATTAAAGAAAAGTATGCTCTTCTCCACTACAGTATTTTCTGTCTTGAAAAAACATTATCAGTCACAGGGACTTAGACACTGAACAACCTTCCTCTCTGGCTCATCAGACGTTACGGTGCTTGCAGACGGTAAAAGGACAAGATTCTCTTTCGCTTTGCATTGCCTCTGAGATGCATGCTAACACCTAGTTGCTACATTTTGATCATGTTTGACGCCCAGAAGAATCCTGGGCTGCAGGGTATTTGCAGATACAGACTCCTTAAGTAAAGAGAGGGACTATCTTTGTACGAGACCCTATATTTTTGTGGAAAGATCCTACTTATTGCGTCTTTGATTCAGTTGCAAATCACCTATTAGCTATAGCATTAGCTTCTGTACATAGCAAACCAAGTTGTAGCTGCAGCTGCTTTAAACCTGATTTGTGTTGCCACTTAAATCGGATGAATGCAGATTTCACAGTATTTGTGTCTGGACTGTAAGTGTGATTGCACCCTCTTATCACCTAGTCTGTTCACAGCTTTCTCCTCTCATGCCTCCAACTAACCATGTTTGTGTACAGTGTGTGTGTGTGTGTGTGTTTATTGATTACTTGAGAGTGAGAAAGAGAGAGGAGGTGGTTATCCTATATCCTCGCCACATGACCAAACTGGAATCTGTGAGAGCTTTCGAGCGCGCACAATAACAAACATTCATACTGTAGATGCATTTCCAGGTCATCCCACACTTTTCTTCCACCTTCTATTCCTGGTTTAATTCGGTTTATCTGCGGTTTCTGGAGCTCCTAATCGTGCATCCATCAGACGTCTGAAAGTAGAGGACAGGCGCCGAGAGGAGAAATGGAGGATGCCGGAGGGAGGGGGAGGAATGTGTTTGTTAAATCTGCAGGGGAAGCAAGAAGAGGGGAGAGAAAGAGCAGGATATGAAGGAGGAATAGAAAGATGGAGATACATGGAAAAGGGTAAAAGACAAAGGTGAAAGAGGACCAGAGGTAGAGAAGGATCCTGAACACACTCGCTGCAGGCCCATCTTAACTGTGGGATATCTGGAATTCAGACTCAATCACACAACGGAAATTACCTGCAAAGTGAGGGGGAGAGGGGGGAGTATCAGGCTAAAAATGTAAAAAGGACAGTACATGCTGCCCTCTCTCTTATAGGAACAAGTACATTGTGTCCTTCCTGCACTGGTCATATCTTCTTTCAGACTTAGGGTTAAAACTTAAAAAAACATATTTAGGTGTTCAATATGTCTTGTTGCATGTGTAGAAATCTTCACTTCTGTATCACTTACATACTCTACAATCTTTCCAGGTTTATACCCATTTATATTCTGAAGGTTTCCACAGCGGGGTTTGTTCATAAATCCCTCTCAGATGCTTCATATCTCAGAGAGAGGAGATGTGGTAGTGAAGAAGTCACATTAGACAGAAGCCCGTTAGACAGCGGTGATTTACACACAGGGCACCGCCCTTCGAGACAGAAGCCACTTCAGCTCGTATCTTAATGCACTTATATCACCTGACCTCGTCATGAAAGTAGATATTTATCTGTGTGCTTATAGCTCTTTAGGAGGTAGGAGTGGAGTTATGTGGGATTCTAGCAGTGTAGTCTATCTTTTTTATTACTTTGTATGCTACATTTTTGCAGAAGATGACTACAATAAATATATATTTTTATATATAGCGACAAGTATGCACAAATCAAACTCGCCATGTATTGTAAAGCTAGTTTTACGGCCTTCTAATTTAATCACAACTCATTAGGAAACCACGTACAGGACAAACATACCATTACACAACAATATATTTAATATATGCCCATTAGGCTACTTTATTCACCTACTAATTTGGTAATAATGTGCATTAGACAATAATTAGCTTGAAATGCTAGAAGACAACATACTGCACAATATAATACAATTGCATATAAACAGTATTTAATGATAAGGAAGCTTATTTTCCACCCTCACACACATGATAACTCACATTATTTACACAGGGATTTCCCCCACAGCTGAACCTGAGGAAGCCCCTCACACCTGTGCACATTCGGTGCCGTGCCCCTCCACTGTGATCACATTACACACGCTAGTCCAGTGACGCTGCGCAACTGTGAGCATCCCAGGAGGATGTGGTTATTTGAAACCCTGGGATGGTGGTGGCGGATTTCCCATAAGGCCGAGCATGTTGGTGTGTGTTGGAGAGGGGGGGGTTCCATGGGAAAACAAATGTGGTGAATCAATGTGGATTATTCACTCTGGGGAACATATGGCTGCGACCACAGAGGATTAGCATGTACGTCCTTGAAAGCAACTTTAATTCAGATCACTGCTTTAAGTGTTGTTTGGAAATAAGCTTACAGTTTGTTGCAACCTTCCTTTGAACTATTACCAGGAAATGGGTTGCATCACATCACAAGGATCCAGTTTCTTACAAAGAAGTGACATAGACTTGTGTGTTTGTGTGTCTTGTGATTGTGCTATGACTCCCCTGCAGGGCAAACCACACACACGCCGATATCAGTTCTTATTGTTTCTAGAGTTCTGTTGCAAAAGGACAATATTATGATGACATAACACTCGCTAGTTTATGTGGTTGCATGTTTGGGGAGAATCATTTCCTGCCTGAGGCGCTGCACGACTGTTAATAATAAGTACGAGCTGAGAATGTGACACAGATCAGATCAGTGAGAGCAGAATGAATCCTGTGGCAGAAACACACAGAGAGGAAACACAAAGAGAAAGAGCACTCCAGTCATCTGTTATCACCCTCAAGGTCATGATGGGAGTGTGTGTGTGGCGGGGTGTGATGGGTAAGGGGGCAGCAAGGCAACCCCCTGTCACACACACACACACACTCACACACACACACACACTCGCACGCACACACCCTGTCAAGAGCATTAAGCACAGACACAAAAGAGGTTGATTTTACCTCATGAGAACAGAAATCCACCAACTAGCGACCCTAAAGTCAACCTATAGGGATTGTTCAAGAAAAGGCAAACATTTAATATAATGCAGTCTATTTAAATTTAACTTTATTTTTGGGATAACAGTTGTCATAAAATGTGTAATTTTAGGTGTTTTTTTTAAAGTCTTTGTTCCCTGACCACATAAACAGAAAGGGTAAATAACATTTTGTATGATGGGAAATGTTTCTACTTTCCCAAAAATAAGTCAGGCTTCATGCATCTCAGAAAAAAAATAAACACAAGCTTCCCCTTTTCTACCCTCGCTGATAATATGTGTTTTTAATATTGCACAAAACTCAGCTGATTCATGATTTCCTGAACACATTATATTCTTTTATGCTCACACACACTTTCAGACAAAAGAACACACACTTTTTGCAGTGTGTGTTTTCATGTTGTGACGGGGGTCTTACGATGTTGTCATGAATGTCTGCCCATGAAGAAACTGATCACTTTAACAAGAAAAGCCCCTCCTTAGAATTTCTCAAGCAGCCCAGTGTGTGTGTGTGTGTGTGTGTGTGTGTGTGTGTGTGTGTGTGTGTGTGTGTGTGTGTGTGTGTGTGTGTGTGTGTGTGTGTGTGTGTGTGTGTACATGTGTGTGTTTGAGTGTGTGCTCATGCATACAAGCCATCAAGTGTGGCGTGGTCTTCTCTAGAGGCGGAGACAACAGAAGCAGGATGTGATGACTCCTCTTCTTCATCAAAATGCTGAGAGAGAGCGCCACCTATCTATGAATGATGTGAATGTGAGCAGCATGCTGGTAAAATTCCACTCTCATACACGAGTACTAGTACAACAGGCTGCAGTAAAATGACTTTGTTGATAAGATCCCTGGAGCCTTGTGTGTGTTTTCAGGAATTCCAGTCATGTGTGTAAGGAGAGACGAGAAGCATGGGGCAAGGTGTCGACTCCTGGAGGAGGATGGTCTTTTTATTGAGAGCCAGGCTTGACCCCACCCATCTCAACAGACACACACACGTACACACACACACACACACACACACACACACACACACACACACACACACACACACACAAACACATATGAGCAACCAGTACTCGAGTACGCTACATCAAATTAAGGTACTTTCCACATTATGCTACTTACTCCACCATATTTACGTTACATATTTTGTTACTTTACAGATGAATACACAATATAAATCAACGTATACATGTTACTATGGGTTAGTATATGATGTAATTAATGTAAACACCAATATGACCACGATAAGATGCTGATACTTTCTTACTTTTACTATATTCTGCTAATTTGCAGGTTCATATTTGTCTTTACTGCCTACTGTGACATGCTTTAATGTTCAAAAAGCTCTTTATTGTTCTCATACTGCCTGTGCTGCAGCACCTCTTTTCACCCTCTGTCTGAAACCAGAGCTCAGTCTGCTCTGATTGGTTAGCTGGCCAGCTCTGTTGTGATTGATCAACCGCTAAGAGATGTCTCGCCCCCTAGCCTATCATGTACAATGTGTTGGAGCGCTAGCCAATAGAAGCGTGGGTGTTTCATAGTGATGTCACTATGGTCTGGAAGCAAACAAAGGAGTCCAATAGAGGAGGTTCAGGCAGGGGGGGAGTGTGTGTGGGAGAGAAATGTTCCCTCGGGACCTCCACCTCTATCGGCCCCGGCTGAATCAATCTTAAAGCACATTTATAATATGGGATTAAAATGCTGATGTCATACACAGGTTACATAATGTCCCCCCGCTCAGCTATTTATATGTCATGCAGCTATTTCTGTGTGACAAAAGCATATATAATTAATGGTAGTACTTTTAAATGAGAATTAATAGGTTATTTTGATATTAAAACTCAGATTTGGCGCTGGTTTAAATGTGATTTATGTACGCATACAGCCAGAGGGATGATTCCTATAAAGATAGATTTATTTAATTCAAGTGTCATTAGAGTATATATATGCATTTGGTCTTTTTTTGTTTTGTTTTATAGGATAAGAAATTAAATGGATTACATGTGGTCTTTGTTTGCGGAAATTCACCACAACATGCCTTTTATTGTGACACAAAAACAGATTAAACACAACACTGAAGGGAGGATTATAGGATTCAAGATGACACTCCCCATATCTAGATGGAATCAAATACAAGAAAATAAAGTGTTATTCATGCTTATCTTCAATTTCTTAAGACATCAAAAACAAACTGAGCCTTAATGAGTGAATTGTGTGAGGCTGCAGGACCATCTAGTGGTTAAATTGTGCACTTCCTGTTTTGAAGACAAATCCAACATGGCGGCTCCCGTGTTGACGTTTCCAGTTGAGGAACTGCTCATGTGAAGGAGCTGCAAACCATGAAGGATTTCAGGTAAACCAACTCAAAAAGGAACATTTTACTTTGTTGACTGATGCATAATGCAAGAGCTTGTGTTACAAGGTGCAGAACTTGATATCGATGTTTTGTTTATTTGCTAAATAAGAGTTAAAGAAATGTTTCTTCCACACCAAAAAACGTATTTTCTTTACCATTAAAACAGGAGAAAGGACAGAGCATTCCTGCAGGTTTAAATGCATACTTGACATATTAAATTAGACATTTTTGGGATGTATCCTTTATTTCACATGTGCATTCACCAGTAAATCCATCACTAAAAGTCAAAATTGTACGACCACAGGCACAAGTAGCCCCCCGAATGTTCTTGTCTGTTTCCTTGCAGCCACCATGGATGCCAAAGAAATAATCCACTGTGCTGTGCAGATAGAGAGATCCCTCGCAGACAGGAGCTATGGGACCATCCTGACCCTGCTCGGTGACCTCGGTAAGTCTCAGGTCACAGCGGAGCAGCTGGAGACCACAGACATTGTGAAAGTGCTCTACAGGCTCCTGAGAAGCTGCTCTGATGACAGCGTGAAGCAGACCGCTAAAGGCTTGTTGTCTAAGTGGAAGAGACAGTACAGCAAAGGAGCACATGGAGTGAAAAGCAAGGAGGCCTCTCGTAGGGTTTCTCCTCCACATGAGGCTGGAGATGGAGCCGTTTCCAAGCAAGAGGATTCCCACTTTGAGGTAGAAGCTTCCTGTAGTTTCTCATCTGTGAGATCTAAATGTGTCCAGCTCCTTCTTTCCGCCCTCTGCCCTGAACCTCCTGATCAACACAAGGCTACAGATCTGGCTGCAGATATAGAAAAGCACGTCCATGAGCTCCACACATCCAGCCAGGTGAAATACAAAGCCTGTGTGAGGAGCAGGGTGGCCAACCTGAGGAATCCCAAACACAAGCATCTGTGTCAGGGCCTCCTGAGCGGCGCACTGTCCCCGGAGGTGTTTTCCCGGATGTCTGCTGAGGAGATGGCGGGCGCGGAGCTCCGGCAGCTGAGGGAGGAGTACTCGTGGAGGGGGGTGAGTGAGAGGCAGCTTCCTCAGGGAGTCGAAGGGACACAGACGCAGAAGATAAGGTGCAAAAACTGTGGGGGGTCGGACTGTAGGGTGACCCAGGTGTCCCGGGGGGCCCTGTTCCTGCCGGCGTGGGTGAGGCAGAGCAGCCCCGACGACGACTCCATGACCTTTGTGACCTGCAGCGGCTGTGGGCAGCAGTGGTACCACAGCGGCTGGGTCTGCCTCTGAATGCACACAAACAAAGGACAGAGCATTTTTGCATGTTTGAGCACATACTTGAGATTTAAATAAGACTTTTTTAAAGATGCGTTCTTTATTTCATGTGCCAGTTACTCCATTATGAAAAGCCTAAACATTGCCTAATGCAGCTGCAGAGTAAAACCACAGCTTTTAAATAAGTTGCTTCATCATCTTCCTCCCGCTAAATCATTTCCTGCCTCCTGCACTTAATCTACTTACAGTAACTCATTTAAATGCTTTTCCTGAATCCTCTTTCTCACGTCAGGGGAATGACGTAAAGCCACTTTGGTAAGACCTCTGACCTCACTAATGTGTCGTTTTCTGATGTTAAGGTACTCAGCTGCTCCTAGTGTAAGTAATGACATTCACGCCGCTCGCTTCCTATAATATCCCATTCATTGGAGCTGCACTGGATGAGACATGTGATCTTAGAAAAACTTGAGCATGTGAGTCAGTAATCCGCCTCCCTTCCCCCATATCCCATGATCCTTCACTTCATGATGTGGCACAATGACTAATTTACACGTCATCGTACAAAACAGTCTGAATGCTTTCATAAATATCACTTTTTTTAAAGTAAAAATGGCAGTTTCTTAGCTGAAAGTAAGGTAGATCTGCATATCCTGGCTAAAAACAGACTTTTGTTGTATCTGAAGTTGGCTTTTAAAAGCTAAATTAGGCATGTCCGAAGATAAACCCCTAATTCTCACGGTTCTCATGCGGCTGTATTATCTTGCCAGTTGTTGTTCGGTATCTCAGCACTGTGGCTTCTCAGATGCTCACTATCTTTTAAGTGTTAAGTGACAGATTCCCTCCCGTCAGATCTGTCTCTCGCACATACACACAGATACAAACAGACAACACACACTGCAGACAAAGGTAGGAAGTGTTGGGCTCCTTTGGGTGATCTTAACCATCAGTAAGAGGCTTAAAAACTGCATAAATTATATTGCAATGCACAGTTATATTTCCAGGTATTATCAGCTCACCTAAAACAAATATAAAAAATACAACAAAACATTGTTTTTATTTTATTAAAATATTGGAAATTAAACAGATACATAGGTAAACATATATAAAGACAAATAAGAGCATAACAAATATGATTATTACATGGAATAAAAATAAATAAACATTTTTGATTGCTTTTTTAAGTAAGTGTCCTTATATAGGTCAATGTATTTTTTGAAACACGAATTTGATGTATAATTTAAGCAAATGTACAATTATGAATGTAGAAATTATAATGTGGTTAATTACAAAAATAGTAGTTCTCATAGACTGAATTGTTACCTTTTAAAAAAATCTCCACATATATTTTTGCCACAGTTTACAGGTTTGATTATTAAAAACTTCCAGAACAGCTGTTAGTTTCAGTGTAAAGGGGACAATAAATGGTGCATTCACGGACATCCACATGATGAGGAGGCGTGACTCTCCCCGGTCATGTGAGCGTCACCAGCGGCTGCGGGGCCAGAGAGCAGCGGGGACACCGGAGCGCCATGTCACCGGCGGACAGCAGCACCCTGGCGGGATGGTGGATGGGATTTAACTGGACAGCGACAGGTACAGTTATTAAGATGGTAAAACTTTACATTTAAGTGTCAGAAATCTGTTCTTTCCGTCGTTTTTATCGGTCAGTAAAGTCGCAACTGTTAGCTCACCCATTATCGGACAGCTACACGTTATGGTAAGGCTTCCATTATCGGACATACCTTTTTTTGCTTTGCTTCTTTCAACAATTGTATCTACATGTTAGCGGGGATGCAACACAAGAAAGCAGCTTAAAATAATTAACCATGTGCATAAAAGTGTATGCAGGTTTAGGAGTGATACAAGCTCTTGTTTTGAACCAAATCTGTGCGTCAGTAACTTGAGTCACGGTTAAGCTAACTACATTTAGTAGAGAACAACATAGTCTTGATGAAGCTATGAGAGTAAGATAGCTAAAAACAGCAATTATGGCGCTGTAAAGTCATTAAACAACAGTTTAACATTATTTTGAAAAGTATAAACATCCTATGTACTTGTCACAGTAAGTTTGCAAAGTTACATCCTACTGTAAAATGATTTTTCCACTGCTATAACCCCTGTTAGTTTGATAAATCTTGTTAATTGATATTAAATATGTTATAGGCTCACTCTTATATGGCAAAGCTTTACCATGCTAATTTAGAATAGTGTCTCCTTAACATTAATGGACATTCAATATGTTTAAATGTAATCATGTGTGTGGTTGTTTTAAGGAAGTATTCATGATTGTAATGGAAATAGGCCTTCCAGCATTCCCCTGAATGCAGCACATGACTCCTGTGTGTGTGTGTGTGACTGTTTCCATTCATTCCTGCTTTAATGGCATTTCTGCTTCTTAATAAATGTTTGTGTTTCTCCAGAATGAATGACAAAGACAGTAATGCAGTCTGTGTTTAAAGATTTCAGAACAAAGACATCATTTAGTTTTGCACCTCGGGCTGAACATGCTTACTATTTACTACCAGCTCATGTGACAGTTCATTCATGTCTTTCATCTCTGCAGAGCAGCCTAACCAGCAAGGGATTTGGCCGATTCGTCCTAATTACCTGCAGACTGCATGCACACTCATGTAATATGTTGTGACAGTTGTAGAAGGGATTGCTTTTGTTGTATAGGCTTTATAAATTACATCAAATGTAGTTATATCTCAAGAAAGCTGCCAAATGTCACCTTGTCATAATCTCTTAAATGTGAGGGTTTTACACTTTTCTTTCTCTTCTATGGTAGCTAACTGAATATCCTTCGATTTTGGACTGTTAGTCGAATAAAACAATGCATTACGATAAATCTACTTGAGCTTTAAGAAATAAAAATGGCCCTATAATCTAATAAGAGACACATGTGGTGTATTTTGTATAAAATAAATAGATTTTTGGTGGAGTATTCCTTTAAAAGCAGTTAGTCACAACACAAACACCATTATTATGAAAGTTATTTGTTATTCAGATACTTCTTATATCAATTATCTATCTATAAAATCTATATCTATATCTATTAAAGTAGCTAGAAGTGTGTACATGTAGGCCAATGACAAGTAGAAAGTGTTCTTAGAAGTACAATTTATTTCAAAAGTACATGTAACAGGAAGGTAAACTCACCCACACACACTTGCTGATACGGTGACAGACAGTGATGTATGAGGTGTTGTTCCTCCTGCTCAGACTTCTTCTTCTCAGATTTGTTTTGGTATGTGGGAGGAATGATTGCTATTTAGCTTAAGCTGGTATGTTAAGCATGCATAAATGTGTGGTGTCAGATTAAATTGATGCTAAATCCTCGGATTATTAGTCATCTAAACTGAGCCTGTAGGTGAACTCCTTGAGTGGTGATTTGCAGAGTTGGATTTCATATGTATATATTCTTTTTGCCTTTACCTCTTTTGCCCCTTTGTTAAGTCCTCTCTCTCTGTTTTACAGATTGCTGAAGAAATTCAGATCTGATATACTGGTGAGTTTTAATCTTTTCTTTTTCTTTTCTGTTGTTGAATCACTTTTGGACCCCTCACTTCCTGATCCTGTGATCAGCGTCCATGTGATGTACAGCACGCATGATTTCATGCAAAACACACGGCGTAGGAAGTTCATTAGTTGCGTAGTGTAATCTCTGGGCTGCGGCTGCTTTTAATAGGATTAGTTAACTGACTTGAATCACAGTCAGAGTGGGGGGTCACAGAAAGTTAGACTCCCTCTCAGGCTGATCAAGTGAAAGCTGATGTTTTTATCTCAACTTTATCTCAAGCCAAAGGTAAAACACAATAAAGTCTTCCTGAAGGGAAACCTGACAGGAAGGGTTTGACTAATGCCAACAGTGGTTTGAAACTGCATGGGTACTTATTCTGTAATTGACAAAAAGACATTAGTTATCTTAGATAGTTTTTTTATTTACTGTGACAAGTACGGACAAGGCCTATTCATTTCATGCCATGATTTACAATGCCACCTTTTTTTTTATAGCACACAGAAATACTGATATTTTCACCTCTATCTAATCAATCCAGAACAGGCTTGAAATCAGAAAAATATAGAAGATTTCCTGTTGATATTTCACCCAGCGTACTGCAGCCCTACAGTACATACTGCACTAAGCATTGGTATTATGCACTACATCTGTACAAACACAGCTACTGTCTGTTGTTTTGCTTCTAAATTGAGTTAATTTCTTTGTGCTCCTCAGGTGCTTCCTCTATCATTGGTGTCTCAAAACTCCTAAACTCTCCGAGCCATGACGGCCAAGTCGGCCAAGTCGGCCAAGTCGGCCCTCCTGAAGGTCATCCTGCTGGGCGACGGTGGCGTGGGAAAGTCGTCCCTCATGAACCGCTACGTCACCAACAAGTTCGACTCGCACCTCTTCCACACCATCGGCGTGGAGTTCCTGAACAAGGAGCTGGAGGTGGACGGCCACCTGGTCACGCTGCAGATCTGGGACACGGCGGGCCAGGAGCGTTTCCGCAGCCTCCGCACGCCGTTCTACCGCGGCTCCGACTGCTGCCTGCTCACCTTCAGCGTGGACGACGGCCAGAGCTTCAGCAACCTGAGCAACTGGAAGAAGGAGTTCACGTACTACGCCGACGTCAAGGACCCCGACAACTTCCCCTTCGTGGTGCTGGGCAACAAGCTGGACGTGCCCGAGCGGCAGGTGTCGGGGGAGGACGCCCGGCAGTGGTGTCGGGAGAACGGAGGACACCCGTACTTTGAGACCAGCGCCAAGGATTCTACCAATGTGGCGTCGGTGTTCGAGGAGGCGGTGCGTCGCGTCCTGGCGATGGACGACAGAGCGGATCACCTCATCCACAGCAACACGGTGGACCTGCAGAGGAAGAGCCCCCCCGAGTCCACCTGCTGCTGAGCGGACCCCCAGCAGGTCACCCCCGTGGTGTGAGACTCTGGAGAAAGAGGAACTGGGGTCTGCTCAGTTTTTAGAAGCAATAACTGAACATTTTGTGCCAATATTCATCGTTTTACCACACACGAGACACAACACTCCGAACTCTGATCCAGAACTCTGTGGGGAATGTGCTTTTGAATTTATACAAAGCGTGAATGGACAGTTATTAGACTGATATTTCTGAGTTGTATTGATTTATTTGTCACCAATGAACCTTAAAAAGATGCAGTGTGTGGGCAAACCTGATAGTCTAAAGGCCTTTCGAGCGTTATTGTGACTTTAGTTGAAAAGCTAAGCTATGTCATCTCAAAACAAACTGCCAAAAGTAAAAGACGGTTTTGTCCTCATCAGTCCTCAGATTATTATCTGTTTCTAGATGCAGATAACGTTTAAAATAAAGTGATTTAATACTGATTACTCCATAACAATCAAAACATGATTTTCTCGTCCTTTTTACAAGCAAATTACCATTAGAAAAAACAACATTTACAATGTTTAAATCAGTTTTCTTTACAGTATTAACATGGATAGAAATAGCATTCTTATTATCTTTTCCTCTTGACATACAGCTGATATAAAGGTACCTCAAATTGTATGTGGTCTATCAAATTACAGGTAGAAACCACTCTTTCTGGCACTACATTTTATAGCATAATTTGTTCCAGATAAAAAGATTACTTTCTGTTCTAATTGGAGGATATTGTGTGTTGATATAAAAACCCAGTGATGCCATGATTTAACTTAGTGTTTCTCGAAGGAAGAGTTGATTAGTTCCTGTATTTAAGTATCTATTAATCACTACCCCTCCTCTAACTATAAAAGTGGAGCACAACATGAAACTCTAATTACTCTGTGGCCTTAACATTTCTCATTAAATACTTTCTGTATGGTATATGACTCCCAGTATTTTCTACACTGGTGATAAAGCAGTCCCCATCAATAAAACTGGATAAAATGTATGTGTGTTATTCACGTTTAATGAGCGTAGTTCCCTCTTTTGTCCACAAGAGGGCGCCCGTGTGGTTCCACAGTAACATTGGTAAGCTCCATCTCAAATGGATTTAATGTGCTTTAAACCATAAAATATTCATATATTAATCAGGTTGGAGTTAGGTAGAGCTTTTTCTGGGAATAATGTGGGCTCACTAAGTTATATATTTAATTATTTTGTTTCCTACAGAATTGCTAGGCAAATAAGGCAGATACTGTCTGCATTCACAGAGGTCTAATCAGGCATCAAGTGAAATCACCTGTGTGTGCGCGCGCGTGTCTCTACACAGGAGGCAATCATGTCAATTAGCTTCACCTGTTACTTCTTGATAACAGCCAAGACATGCTTCCAACCTAAAAATACAGGTAGGAGTTTTATTTTTATAAAAATGATTTGTCATTATTTTATATTGTAGAAAAATGTGCTTTAGATACTTTTAACAGAAAACATTTGAGAAATTAATTGATGAGATTACAATGCTCTATTTCTACATAAATAGGGTTGCAACTAACAATTGTTTTAATGGTCTGGTATATAAAATGTCAGGAAATAGTCAAATAAAAGGCTGTGAACATTTCTCATAGTCCAAGAAAATGTATTATTTTGTCTAAAACCAACAGATATTCAGTGATTGATATGGTATAAATATAGGAACAGCAGGAAATCTACATATTTGAGAAGCTAAAAAGTAACTTTATGAGAAAAAGGCAATTTGAAGACGTCAAGTATTAACGTTTCTAAAAGTCCATTATTTGTCTCTATACAAGACCATTAAGAGCCATGTTTTTAATGCCTTAAATATAAGTTTGTTACCATAAACATGAAGTTAAAAATCTAATAATTTTAAAGACCCGAACACAAGAACGAGACAGGAGACAAACGGTGTCACGATAATAAAAAATATCGGTTTTACTAGAGAAGGTTACAAAAATCATCACTATATAGGAGTCATAGAACTATTTCCAACTTAAAAAATCAAACCATAATGAAACACCTACAGGGACTACAATACCATCAAATACAATGGAGTTTTCTTTAGAAAAGAGTGGGTGGAAAGGGTAGGGGGTGTAGGAGGAGGAAGAGGAGGAGGAGGAGGAGGGGGAGGGCAAACACCGCCTACCATAGTTGTCAGAACATTTGACTACACATCACCTGAAAAACTGCAAAGACACAGTCATGTCTCCTTCATGCAAATAACGAGGAAACGACAACACCCTGACACGCATCGTCTTATAGGAAATTGAAGTTTGCCTTTACATCAACCTGGTGGCAAAGCACGTATATTTATCAAACAAAACACACATGGCAATATAGTCCTTTTTTATACAGAATAGACAGCTGCACACATGGACGATACTGACATGCTTCATCTCATCAAATTTTCTTCAGTGTTTTTTAAAGGGGCCCTGTTATGCTCATCTTCAGGTTCATATTATCATTTTTGTCTCTACTGGGACATGTCTCCATGCTTTCATGTTCAAAAAGCTCTTTATTTTTCTCATACTGCCTGCTCTTTTCACCCTCTGTCTGAAACCAGAGCCCAGTCTGCTCTGATTGGTTAACTGGTAACTTAGTTACCCCTTAGAGATGTCCCGCCCCTTAACCTATTACATACAGTGTGTTTGAGTGCGAGCCAATAGAAGCACGAGTGTTACACAGTGATGTCACTATGTTATGGAAGTAAACAAAGGAGGCGTTTCAGGCAGGGTGGGGGGGAGTGTGTGGGAGAGAAACTCCCTCTGGAGGGAACACAGGGATTTTAGCCTTTGCAGACCATTGACATGCACCTATATAACACACTAGAGGGAAGGGAAACCCCAGAAAGCATAATAGGGCCTCTTTGAGGATTGACTAACCAGTGTTCGGTATAGAATATAGTTCATGATATTCAAACAATATCTGATTATAAAATCAATGTATGAAAATTCCTGACTTGATTTATTTCAGAGTGTAAACACTTTCAAAAAAGTCGTTTGGCTGCCCATTGGAGAAAAAAAAAAACCCACAAATAAATCCATAAAATTACTGAATCACAAGATTAATAACCCAGCTGCCTAAAAACTGAGAAAACATTAAAAACCTTCCATATTTATTTTTTCTTTACATTTTAAAATGTGTACGTCACAAGCACCTCAATCCATCGTGTCATATCTTAACTGCACTGCATCCCTCTCACCACGTAACAATTAGTATTTATATCAAATGCAGAACTAGTATTTGAGTGCTAAACACATATCTCAAAGGGTACATTTACATATATCTGTGGAAAAAAGAATAGAAGAGCATGGCGAAACACTGTTCTTCTTATTTTAAGGAAAGTGTACATTTTTTAAGGGTTTAGCTATTTACAGGTGGATTTCATTCAAAAGGAGAAATTTGCAAAAAAAAGTTATAATTGTCACAGGACAGCGTACCAATCCGGTAGATTACGTTTAGCGTCAAAAGAACAAAAGTGGCTAAAATCAGATTTGGTTTGATACCTGAGGTGTGTGTCTGTTTTGTGTTAAAATACCATGTATCTTTGATTTGTTGCCGCTGGTGATAAGTGTAGCTTAAGACTTTAATTGACTTTCTTGCAGAGAGTAAGACGATACCATCCAACCCTTGGCAAGAAAATACGCAAAAGTTCCCTCAAATAAGAAGTTGCTCCACCTCTGGTCTAAATAAAGGATAATAACCATGGCAGAAAAATAAGCTTTTGTCATGTAAATGCTCGGTAATCCTTGAGATACCACATTAGATGTTTCTATGAGACAGAGGGGGGTTGTTAAGGGTCCTTCCTTATTTTTTTGTTTCGTAATAATAGTGCAACAACGTATCGAGCATTAGCAATAAAAAGTCTAAAATGGAGAAGAAAGAAAAACAGTGGCCGCGAAAACATAAAGAAGAAGAAAAGAGTACCTGGCATACTTCTCAGAGAGTATTAAAAAAAACAACAACATTCGTACACATTCGCACAATATATTCATATATATATGCATATAAAACACCAAAAACGAGGAAGTTGGTCGCTGCCTGACGACAGTGAACAATGTTTTTTTTTAATACGGAGCTGTTTTTTTGGCTCCTAGCGCGAGGCCATCACAGCCGGGGCCACGTTCACGAGCCGCCGCCCTAACGCTCGGGGGGGAGACGCTTCTGAACGGACGCTCCAGACCTGAGCGAGCACCCGGCGGGCGAGCTCTCCCGTTCTGAAGCATCTGCCTCCAGCTGCCGCTCCTCACCCTCCACCCTGCTCCCTTCGATGGGAAGGGAGGAGGGTGGGGGACCAGGAGGGGCTCGGGGGACTATCAAACATGGCCGAGGTGGTTTGTTTTAACAGAGGGAGGGGTCGGGTGTCGCGGGGTGGGGGTGTGGAGGTGTGGAGAGGACGCGGTGAGGAGCTCTCCTCCTTATGAGTAGGAGGAGGAGTTCTGGCCCTCCTTGGAGCGCGCCTCCGCCTCCAGGTCCTGGTCGTCCTTGGTCTTGATGTCCTGGTAGTCGTGCGTGGACACGGCGCTCTTCAGGTAGGCCCAGTTAGCGCCCAAAATCATCAGGTAGTGGATCTGGAGAGGAAACACAAGCACTTAAAACAAGGTCAAGTAGTATTGTAGTGTCCCAATAACACACTACACAAATCACCGCACCACTCGGTTAGCAACATGGTATGACGTCAACGTAGGGTGACTTAGATTGTATTACATGGCTTAGTTGAATACTCGATTCTCATTGGGCAATTCGGACATTTCAGAGTTGTACTTTAGACATTTTGTTTGCCCAAATTCCTATCTTCCTATCCTGTAAGCTGGAGCACATCACAGTGCGGAGGGGGCGTTCAGATGATCCACCTCAACATCTGCTTATTGCTTTTTTTAGCATCTCCATTTCCCTGGACGTAAAACAAAGCGGTCCGCCTCCACAGCGGAGTGAAAACACGCTGACCCCGTCTCCTCTCGCTCACGCAGGCTCAGATGTCACCCCTTCAGGAGGACATGCTGACAGAACGTGTGAGCGGAGCAGCACATTATCAGTGATCTTACCAGTGCGATGACGGTGGCTCCGGCGCCGGCGAACGCGACGATGTAGAGGTGGTAGGAGAGGTAGAACTGTGGGGGGGGGGGGGGGGAGACAGAGAGTTAGAGAGAGGAGTTGAAGGGAAATAAAAGAAGGGAAGGGTAGTCCTCTCACCTCGCTGGTGTTACAGATGTCTCCCAGTGTGGCCCCACAAGCTTTTCCCGGAGTGGCGTTCCAGGGAATAATACCTGCAGGATGAGGGAGATCAAACGTCAAGAAGCTTTCTCCTCCCCCGAGACTGCATTAACAATCGGATAAAGATTAAGGAAAAGCGCTGAGCCGATCCCACAAGAAAAATATGGGTCGCTTTTTTACAGTTTTTCAAAACCAGCTAGTGTGTCTCTTTTTTACTTTTTCGCCTTTTCAGCATCATTATAAATAGATAAAAGCTTGGATAATAATTTAGCAGTAATTGGGGTTAATATTTTATAAAGTGTAGTAGCAGGGCGGCAGCAGCATATGTGATCCTCATCCTACTTTGCGAGCGGGCCAGCTGTCCTTCAAATGTGGGTCACACCCCCTACATTAGGCCCTCACACAGATATGCAATCATTGTAGAGCGCTACTGTGCCGCAATACTGCAGCAATGTGGATTTTCATAGAGATCCAATCAGCCTCTCAATAATCTAAATGTATTTGTTGACCTTTTCCTATATAGTGGATGACTTTTCAAGCAGAGGGATACATATGTTAAGTGAAAGGGCGGAGAGCAAGGTAAAGCCTTTTGGATTATTTTCTATATTTTGCAGGTAGAGCTACATGTGTGTGGATGTCATGTGCAAGAACTAATGAAATATTACTGATTGTAAGATGGAACAAATATATCAAAACGACGGTGGCCGGCAACGGACCAATACACTAACATTCGGAGAAAGGTGCTTCACTTTCACAGACGATGCAAATATAAAAACACGT